GTTAGTTACCTCGCCGATGTTAGATGTCGGGTACGTTTTGACATGTAAATTTGTTGAATGAACCTAACCATTTCTATCTACTCAGCACTGGGACGACTATGGAGCGCCCCATATTCCAGATGACACGCGACGTGACGGTTCGCATACTGAGTTCTACACCGACACTCTCCTACTCATCTTCAAGCATGGTCTATATATCGATGCACTGCTTGCATTCATCACGAATACAAACACATCTGGACCATCTCCGGGAGACACTATCCTTAGAGACACGTTTGCTTTGACCAGCAACTATAACATCCAGCTTCCCCACCCCCTGCTTGGCGCAATTCCATTGACGATCGCTGTTGGATTGTTGGTCATAAACGGAATGGAATTTCTAAACTATGTCATCGCGCTCCTGGCTGCACCTCTAACCTGGCTCCCTCCGTCGATTTCGCCACACTCGCGACCTGCATCCTCGCTGAAAAACGAGTGGCCGCCCTTGTTCGATCATCCTTTCCGGTCGACTTCGTTGGGAGAATTTTGGTCGAAGAGATGGCAAGGTACTCCAAGGCGTGTCTTTTTGGTCGGTGGAGCGAGGCCTGGAAAGGTGGTAGGGATGTATGTTGGCCAAACGGTCGGCCAGCTGGGGATGTTTTTCTCATCTCGAAAGGCTAATCGCCACGAACGGATGGATCGAGCTCGCTCATTGGGTTCTCGTGCGGGTTATGTGATGGGCGCCTTTCTTGTGTCTGGGTTAATGCATGATTTCGGCATGTGGGGCATGGGACAAGGCATGGACTTTCGCCGAGTAACCGGCTACTTTCTGATCCAAGGGGCTGGTGTTATAATTGAGAGTATGCTTGGACTAGGCCAAACTACGAGCGAGGAAAAAATAAAGAAGGGCTCAATAGTGCGCCAACCACCAAACTTAGTGCTCTACCGTTATCTCATGAAGCTGTGGGTATTTGGGTGGGTAGTGGTCCCAGCGACTATGATGATCGAGGCCTGGCTTCAACGGGGCTTCGGTCTAGTCATCCTTGTTCCCGATGCTTACAGCCCATCCAGAGCAATTTTGAATGCCTGGAACAACTTTGCTTTCGGAAAATAGATATCCGTCGTTGTGTGCCTGTAAATCGATTCTGTAGAGTTTACCATTTGACATATACCCCCCAAAGCATTGGTGGGAATAACAAACTACCGCATAATTCACACCTATATTCCAATAAAACGTCTACAGGAAGCTTTCTCGAATCTCGAGTCATACCAGTCAGATAGCTACTCTTCTACCCGGTGTGATCTGGCCAGCGTTGATTACTGACTAAGTATGCCCGTTAGTTGCATTTGTTTGGTGTTTTTGAGGCCCTCAACCTCGCGATGACTCGAGAATGCGCATACATGCACACTTTCCAGATGTATATAATAAGCGATACTCGGCCCATGTTTCTGCACTTCAAACACTTCGGCACTCACGGCAACAAAACTCCAATTGGTCCTGTGACCATCTTTTTTTGGCATAACCCTGCGACAGCCCACCGGAGTTTTAACCTTTGTAACCAACCACCACCATGCATCGTCTTGCTCCTACCTTGCTTCGTGCTGCCCACGCTCGTACTTCAAGTTGTACACTTCGTGATCCTGCTGGGTCACTTTTCTTACGTATCGCTCACGCTCGGACACTTGCAACTCATGCTTCGTCTATTACTCCTTCGTTACGCTTGCTCAAACCCTCTCCTGCCGAGCTAGCGGCTAGGAAGCTTGGTCCACGAAACATTCGACTCGCGTTGGAGGCTCTTCAAGAGGATGGTATAGTAGCCCTTGAGGGGGTTGTGGGAGAGCGAGAGTTGGACGCTGTATGTTCTTATGAAGATACTTTATTATTTGGGGTGACTGACTAATTTGTGGCGTAGCTGAACGCGCGAATGGTACCGGACGCATACAAACTACGCGATATGAAGGATGGTCCATACAACTATAACCGAGGTTTGTTCTTTCGTTTGATACACGTTTAAAACACCAAGCTACATAAATAATTGCTCAGGAAACGTGCAGCAAGATCCTCCGCCGGAGCCAGAGCTTTTCTTCGAAGACGTATTTCTTAATCCGTTCGCGCTTCAAATAAGTAATGCCGCGCTGGGAGCAAGGCCCAAGATGACCTTTTGCAGTGGGGTGAGTATGGTCATTGTACATTTTCAGACAACTACTGACTACGAGGCGGAGTAGAATACGGCATTGAAAGCAACAGAACGACAACCTGTACATACTGATGCTGACTTTGCTCAGCCTACGGTGAGTGTTTTTCGTGCAGACCCGGTTATCGTAATTGAGGGCTATTAGGTTCCGTTTGCTCTCGTTATCAATTGTGGGCTTGTGAGTCTATGGTTTAGTGCTGTGTGATCAGCTAAAAGCAATCCTGACCAGGTTGGTATGACGCCCGAGAATGGATCAACTGGTAGGTGTATGTGCTGTTTTGACTGTTCGCTGTCGCTCATTCTTCAATAGAACTCTGGCTTGGAACTCACACAATGGCAAATCTCGACGCCCAAGACGGACTACACGGTGATCGCGCGTCCGGTCGTATCAAGACCGAGCTCATGAAGGAGCGGGAGAAAGTGTCTCCACCGTTTCAGCCGGTGGTTCCAAAAGGTATGCATACGCGCTAGGAAGTATCATGGAGCTTTTGTTGATAAATGATTGGTGGATAGGCTCGATCATTCTGCGAGATTTGAGGCTATGGCATGCAGGAATGCCAAACAAGACCGAAGATCCGAGGGTTATGCTGGCTCAGATTCGTGAGTAATCCTGTGTTGATCGCAGCATCTACTCTAAATAAAGCTTCTCAGACTTTGCGCCATGGTATATGAACCAAAGTACGTAGACCTTGAACTTTCACCGAATAGCTCGACTAAAACTCGAATAGTGAAAATGGAATTCCCGAAAGGAATGGAGAAGATGCTTCAACATCCTGACCTAGAGATGCCAACCAACTTTGTCGACGCCCCGATTAACTATCTTGGACGAGCTTACGGGAACGCTTACGATTTCCGTCAAGTCGAGTCTGACAAGTGGGAAATTGACTGAGCGTTTGGCAATCTGATGAGCGCATATATCTGTATATTTAGTTTGGAACGAAATAAACACCCCTCCATACTGTCAAAAGGCTCCGAAGTACTGCCCGAATGGATGCGTTAAGATGGGATCATTCACAAGGGCATGTAGCGCAGTTGGTAGCGCGCTCGCTTAGCAGCTTACAAATTGTGTAACCGACTGCGAGAGGTCTTGGGTTCAAATCCCAACTTGTCCACTCTCTCTTTTGCCCTTCCTTCCGTGTGGGAATTTACGGATTTCTTTTGTCGTGTGAATCAAATGAGATGAGGTTGTGTCTCGTTCTACTCAGCGCTTCTTTGTGGCTGTGGCTGTGCCACTCTGAAGCAAGCGCCGAACATGCATTATGGTCCTGGCTTCGTTTTCTGCCTGACCAAAGGCGCTGTCGGTCTTGGCACTTGGCAGTAGAGCGGACCTGAGGTCTAAGATTAATCCTAATCCTCGAGCCGATCGAAAATTTCCGGTCTCTGAGCTTATACCGCGATGGGACGACGCGGAAGCTTGTTTCTTCCTTCCCTCGTCATCTTCCTTTTACTTTTCCTCTTGAGATCGCCAAAAGTATATCCTAATTATACAGGTATGCTTTTATTTCTTCACTTGGAAAGCCTTTCTAATTTTGTATAGACATTCCAAGCCCGATATTGCTCCTTACAGCCCACCCGGATGACGAATGCATGTTTTTCGCGCCCAGCATTCTGGGGTTGAGGAAGTCTGGCAAGGACGTGCGTGGGCTTTGTCTGAGCGTTGGTCAGTCCTGTGGGCGTTTTGGTTTCATTATCCTGAACGAGAGCTAGGAAACGCGGATGGGCTAGGACCTGTGAGAAGGGAGGAGCTCATTAGAAGTTATGGAGTACTCGGAGTAGATGAGAGGAATGTTGAGGTTTTAGATCATCCGTAAGTCGCTATATTGGTATTGGCTGCAGAGACTAAGAGGCTTTAGAGAGCTACAGGATGACATTAAGCGTACATGGAATACATCGTTGGTTGCAGAGATTGTAGGAGAGTATGTAAATGTACATGGAATTGCATCAGTGAGTGTCCGTCTCTTTTCCCTCCGTGCGTACTAACACATTTCAGATCATCACGTTCGACGCACACGGCATTTCTTCGCACCCAAATCACATCTCCCTCTTCCACAGCGCACTTCGCATCCCTGACATCCAAGTATGGACGTTGCACACAACAGGTGTCTTGGCCAAGTATACAGGCTACCTAGGCGCGATTTGGCCGGGTAATGGGACGGTGGTATATACGTCTGGAGTAGGAGAATATGTGGCTGCTCTGCGAGCGATGCGAGAGCATTGGTCCCAGCTGGTATGGTTTCGGTGGCTGTATGTCGCGTGGAGTCGGTATATGTGGGTGAATGAATTGGTCCAAGTTGCTTAGAGCTCATCGGGTGGGAGGATCGAAGCGTGTGCTAGGGGTTTCGACTTCTGGGACCCAGTGTTTAAGTTTCTTGCCGCACCAGTATAAGGCAGGGCGGCTCTTTTTGCCCAGTTCTTGCCGGATTTCCATGTTTCCGCCTAGGATACCGCTCGTGGAGCCAAGTTTGGCGTTCCAGATGATGGAGGAAAGGGTAGGTGGTTCAGTGTCGGACTGTGCTGGTGGGACCTGGAGCAGTAGGAAAGGAACAGGAGAGGCCATGGCACGGCGGATTGCAAAAGGAGAAAATCCGGCGAGGGACATGAGGATTGCGACGAGCTCCGACGTTTCGGGGGTGCCGTCGGATGCCTCTGATGTAGTGGAGAGCTCGAGAGTACTATCTGGGCTCAAGACTCGTGCACTGCCAGTATGGGAATGTAGAAGCGCTGCGCCTTCAAGTTCACGTACGTGGACAGGTCCTAGTTTCTTCTCGAACGCCTTGCATTGCCCCAAGATACGTATCCTTCGTCGTTCGTCGCTTGTATCAGGCGGAAGTCGGGGGAGCCACCACCAACCCTGGAGGTCTACCCCGCCGTCTAAGCGTCCACCAACATTGGTAAGAGTCATTGAGAGTTGTGACTTGAGAAGATTAAGACATCTATCTTCAAATGCCTTTCCGTATAACGACGGTGCTAGTCTCGTCGCTGCCGCCATCGTGGTAAGAGCCAAAAATGAATTCTCATTAAAAATTCCACGTGACTGGACCCTATTGCATCCAAATCGGCCCACCGCGAATCCTCCAGCACACCACGACCATGTCCGGCCTCACGAAACGCGTCCGCATTTTGACTGCTCTCGACGTAGCTGCCCACGCAAGCTCGACAGACTGCTGGGTGTCACGCGCCGGCAAAGTTTACGATGTTACTCCGTTCTTGGCTGACCACCCGGGAGGTGACGACCTTATCCTTCGTTTTGCGGGAAAAGATTTGGGAGATATTATGGCCGACAAGAGTGAGCATGATCACTCGGACTCGGCGTACGAAATGCTCGAGGAGTACATGATTGGACGTCTGGGCACCGAGGCAACTATCGTTAGCGACGGTGAGTTCTCGTCTCGCTCGCTCTCACGACCCACGCTCATTCCACTATTTTTTCTGCACAGATTGGGTCGCGACCGATGACTTTCATCCAGATGACACAGACACTGCCGCCGATTTTGAAAAGGCGCAGTTCCTGGACCTGCGCAAGCCACTGCTGCGCCAAGTCTGGGAGTCCAACTTTTCCAAAAACTTTTACCTCCAACAGGTCCACCAGCCGCGACATGTCAAGGACTCTGCGCGACTCTTTGGCCCGGATTACCTCGAGGTTTTCACGCGCACGTCGTGGTATGTCGTACCAATTATATGGGCCCCGATTGCGGCCGGGCTGTTCGTGAGGGCTGCGATGCAGTTTAGTGCACCGGGCGCCGTCCCAAGTCTTTTGACTACCGCCCAGAACATTATCGGAGCTACGACCAACACGACGCCCTCTCATTCTTATGGGTACACTCCGGGTGCCGTTGGACTTGGACTCGGCGCCAGCATCACTAATGCGGCTATTGCAAAGACACTCGCATGTTTCTTGGTTGGAAACGTTATTTGGACAATTCTCGAGTATACCTTGCACCGATTCTTGTTCCACATCGACGAAGTACTCCCGGATCGTCCGTTCTTTTTGATGCTCCACTTTTTGCTGCATGGAATCCATCATTATTTGCCCATGGATCGGTGAGTATTTTGGTTGCTTGAAATATGTTTGCTAATGAAACTGCTTGTTAGATTGAGGCTAGTAATGCCGCCGGTTTTGTTTGCATCGCTGTCGTTTCCCTTCACCAGGCTTGCATACCTTCTGTTCCCGGTCGCAGTCGCAAACGGAATTATCTCGGGTGCATTCGCTTTCTGTAAGTCACTTAATCACCTATTACCTACATGTACTAATTTATTTATAGACGTTCTGTATGACTGCATGCACTACGCGCTGCACCATACCAAGCTTCCTCAGTACATGCGCGAAATGAAAAAATATCACCTAGCGCATCACTACAAGAATTTTGAGCTTGGGTTTGGTGTTACGAGTGAGTTTGGTTTTGACTTTTTCTGTGATTCGGATGGTATGCTCCGTAGATGTTCGGCGAACATAAAATCGTTCGATTCATGCTGCGGTCAACCCATAGTCCTTTCACACCTCCACCCCTAAACATTTTGTGATGCGGTGCTGGAATGCTGACGTTTATGCTTACATAGGTAAAGTCTGGGACTACGTTTTCAACACTGTTCTGAAGGTATAAAGCACGATCTTTTTTGTATTTGCTTGGCTTTGTAGAGGATCCGGACGGTCGATTGGTTGTGCACTCGCATTTGATTAGTGTTTTGTTGTATACTTTCTTAATGGCAATGCACCGCTCTTTTCTTATAGCCCATGATGTTACTTGGATTAATATGGGACCAGCATACAAGGCGTACGGCGGCAGCATAACAAACTAACAGCCCAGACTCGAGCCCAGCTCTCTTGGATCCTTACTCAAGCTAGAAAAAAAAGAAGGTATAAGTCAGTTCAATTGTACAGATACGTCATATTCAGATTCCAAGTTCGTTACGAAAAAAGTTGCACGTAACGCAAATACTCATGCTCTCACCAGGCCCACAAAACCGCATTCAACCTTTTAAAGATAGGAGACCGCCAAGCATATGACGCAGTCCTCGTTGAGCGATTTCCCTAAATATAAACAGACTATATGCGCTCAAGCCGCCTTGTCCCCCCTTGGTTAACTAGCGATCAAGTAACCCAAATATATGTAAACATATCCCGACTCACGACTGTCGCAGCTTCTTGCTCGCTACGTTCAGCATCCTCTGCAACAGCGAG